AGTAGCATTTCCTGTCGAGGATTGTATTGATCGTACTGGTTTTGTGGTGATAAAGCAGGTTGATTTGACGCCAAAAGTTTCATACTTGCGGGGTTAGGGTTCGTTGGAGTAAGATTTCTAGACGGTACGGCCGTGTTTGCCGTCGAACTTCCTGGGTCGGTATTCCCTGGGTCGAGAATTGTCGAAAGTTGATTGTTTAGATGAACGGAGGCGGGTATTCCCAAACTAGCAGCTCCTGACTTGTTTACTGGTCCCGTAGATGAATTCATAGACATTTGAAACCCATTCGCGTTCGCCGTTTGTTGGTTTGTTGCACTCGAACTCGACGTCGCCATTTTGTTGGGCAAGGAATTTCCCTTATTATTGTTGACAGTCCGATGTTCTGTACTCTGAATATAATCTTGTAGCTCGTTCAAAATACCCTGATTTTTCGAGCCTACTACACTACTTGAACCATTCTCACGTATGAACGGGTCAGAAAAGAAATCTCTGCCCGCTAAAGGAATTTTAAAACGATGATTTGTGTGTTCCGTGTTCGATACAGGCTCCTTATTGGGAAGTTGAAGGCGACGACCGCTTTCTTCGCTGTTACTGGCATGGACCCGAGCAGTTTGCGCCATTCAGCAGCGCCAACACGCTCTTTACGAGACCATACCGACAGGGAAAAAAATTCCAAAGCCTCATGAATTGTTTGTAACTTGCACGTGTTGCTGGGGTTTACCTGGCGATGTCTGACGTTGTAGAAAATTGCCGCCTTTCACCCTGCCGATGGTGAACGCTTTTCACACACTAGCAGCCATCTATAGTTAGCACGTGTTTGAATGACAGGAGAGAGTACGTGACGTCACCAGGACCATAAACGCTGCGCACGCACAATACCGGCACAAAATTGGTTGGGGCTTTAGTGCGTGACGTCTCCGGGAGCCAAGCTAAGTGCGATCGCAATTACAACCAATTTTTTATTTTTTTAGTTACCCTCCCTCCTGAATTCCTTTTCCCAGGCCCTTTTTCAGACGAAGTCATCGAAAACACAGCCAGAGATATACGGACTAGACAAACCGAATGATCGGACAGCTAAATACTTAATTTTATTTCCTAACTTCATCAGGGGCCAGTGCAGCAAAAAGACTATAATTTTATAGCTAAAAATGGACGCAGTACCTGCCAGCTGAGAATCTTTCCCATCGATAGGACACTGAGTTTTTACCCGGGGACCTTAAGATCAGACGACAGCAACGGCGATGAGAACATCAAAAAAGCAATAGGTCTTGGGCTCCATCCATACGTATCCGAAAAACAGTATTTTTGAAAACGGAGTTTTTCTCCGTTTTTAAAATTATCCGGATACAAGTGGACGGGACCTCAGGCCTGGGCCAAACCTCGAACTTTTCACGAGACGAGCCAAACTTAGAGGGCTAGTCATAAAAAGTCCGACGACACGTCTGGCTCAGTTGAGTTTGTCTGAATGAGTTTGGATCTTCCAAGACGTTCTATCCGTCTGCTTCAGACGGATAGAACTTCTGAAGATCGTCACCGGGACAGAGGTTGATGTTCACATGCTACAAACTAGACTACCGTAAAATTCCGAAAATAAGCCCCTCCATGTATAAGCCCCTCCAAATATAAGCCCCCCAAACCGGTAACGCAAGAAACCCTCCGTTAAATCGCCCCTCCAAATATAAGCCCCTCGGGTGATTGTACTTGGAAAGATGCCCTCAAATACAAAGTAAAACAAAGCAAAAACGGTAAATTTACTTCCAACTATGAGGCTAGCCCAATCGATTTCGAAACGCAAATTTCCTTCCGTAGATAAGACCCTCCAAGTATAAGCCCCTCCAAAAATAAGCCCCTCGAAAAGGGCCTTTGAAAAATATAAGCCCCGGGGCTTATTTTCGGAATTTACGGTACTAAATTAAAAGTTTGTATGATAATAAATATTTAGCCTTGTTCGGGAGAAAATTTTTTATATTTGTTTTCTGGTATAGTACAATTCAGTTTCAGTTCCCATCAGACGATCTAGTTAATTTAGCCGACTCAAATTTTTCATGAAAAGTTCGTCGTTTGGCCTGGGCAAAACAACACCTCTGCTCGTGCATCACACTTTTTTGTACAGTTGTTTGCTGTCACTGCACGACTACGGTCTGAAAATACATAATTTCTCGTTTTATGGAGGTTATAAACCACGACGAAATTTCATTTCTCCTTCGAGACCGGTTAGGAATACAACTCCAGGCAGGAGCCTAGGCTCCAGCTTCAGGAGAGTTCGCCTTCATTTGTTAAGTCAGTGGGTTGAAATAATTGGGATGAAAATTAGAAGGAGGCAAATTCACTTTTTAGCCGACGTTTTTACTACTGTCTGCAGACAAGGGAAATGTTTATTTACCAAGAGATCATTTTTCCCACCATTTACCAGGTTTAACGGTATTTTAAAGAATAGCCTAGACTGCGAGCAGTCCCTGTTCAGTCAGTCGAGTCTAAGCTCGGCAGGACTGGAGAGAGCGAATTGGCCGAGAGCGAAACTGGAGAGTTCACCTCGGCTTCTTGTTTTTTACTTTCGCCCGCTTCGCTCGATTTCCTCGCTCGCGTGACCATCCTGAGGGACTGCTCGCAGTGAAACGTGAGTAAAAACTTTTTTGTCGTTGTCCC